ATTTTAGTAGATACTTCAATTTTGATTGACTAAACACTAAAATCAATCTAATATTGTCCAATCAAATTACTAAAACCTAGATTTTATCTTAGTTAAAATTTCGTGAAACAGGCCCCAAGAACACAAATCCTGAGAGTTCCAAGCAAAATGTTTGCAATATCTCGATTTAATAGTCAAGTAAATGCTATATTTATACTAACAATTAGGCCTGCAGCCGAAATTTTTAGCTTGCTTAGAAACACAATTCCAAGGTAAATGTTTGTACTAACTCGATGATGAAAATTGTGATAATTTTCAAGTAAATGATATATTTATACTAACAATTGTGAAGTTGACATAAAATTAAATATTGACGAAAACACCCAATGCCTTCATCCTCGGCAAAGAATATGCTATTAGTTAAATTTTGATTTAAACCAAAATGCAGAAAACATAATGGACAAGTGAACATACAGAATTTTGGAAATCGATGAACGGTAATAGAGAGTTATCTCCCTTTCTGTCAAATGTCTGCAATTGATAACAGTATTTCAGGTGTATGTTGACTGCTGATGCTGTATGACGCACAAGACCGTGTGAGCAGACAAGCCCAATATTTATACCGTTAATGGGGTCCCAGGAGACTGCAAGGGTTGGTGAGCGGATGTTTACCCAGAAATTATGAAAATTCGTGGTGGCACGGCTTGAGTTCGAACCCGTCGTCCAAGTTCATCCCAAAGGTGTTCGATCGGGTTCATGTCGGGAGACATAGCGGGCCAATCCATAACACGGATATGATGATTGTTCAGAAAGTCTCTTGTCAACCTGGCAGTGTGGGGTCGGGCGTTGTCATGTTGGAAAACCATCTGTCGACGGATGCCATGTTGAGCCAGCATTGGAAGCAACACCGGACGAAGGATGACGTCAACATAATGTTGAGCGTTGAGATTGCCTTGGACCACCACCAACTGGGACCGGTAGTTGACGTTGATAGCGGCCCAAACTATGACGCCACCTCCCCCGAAACGATCTCTTTCCAGCAAAGCGTTCATGTCGACGTCGGTAGATACGGTGACGTCCATCAGGAAAACTGAGGTTGAATCGGGATTCATCCGAGAAGACGACATTTCGCCATAGTGTGCTGTGCAGATACCCCTGATTTGCGGCCCATTGCTGTCTGGCAAGTCGATGACGATGCAAAAGGATTTGACCTTGGTAAGGTCGACGGCAGCGTAACCCAAGAGCAGCCAGGCGCCTTCGGACTGTTTTGGGCTGATCTGACGTTGCCGTGTTCCAACAGTTCCTCTGGCAGTAGCAGTAGCTGACTGCTGGAACCTGTTGCGCAGATGCTGTAGTCGGATGTGGCGATCTTGAACAGCCGTTGTTACAGGTGGCGCTCCTGGTCAGGGTCGATCGGCAACTCTTCCAGTGGCATGGAAGCGTTGCCTGAGGCGAGCAATGGTCGATGGGTGGACATTAAAGTGTCTAGCGACGGCTACCTGTGAAGCCCCCTGATCCAGCTTGCCAATAGCTCTGTTCCTGTTTTCTTGTGTAACTGTAAGACGTGGCATTTTTGCGAAGTGGTGAATGTTGAAATTTTGATCTGTATTTAAAGGGCCAGAGTGCAGGGAATGCACGTGCAAAACGTGTGACATGGAACTGCTTAAAATCGTGAAAAAAGACAAGTGTTGCTTTTGCACGAACAAACTTCATTACCGAGAATTATTGATATTGGGTTCAAAGCAGGGCCGGCGGAAGCTAATGGGGGGGGGGGCTAACATCCTAGGTCCTTAGGCGAGGGTCCAGGGCCGCCTGGGCCCGGGAAGCTCTTGGGGGTCTAGATCTTCGGAGACGCTTTCTAAGCGATTTCTGGCTAATAAAATTACTCAGCAATGAAGTGAAATTTCATTTCATTTTTAACTCCCTTACCATAAAAACACAATCTATGGTGGTTTAATCCTGTGATGCTGAACTTGACAAATTATAAATATATGCATAATGCATGATGAAACTTACAATGTACGTTTATTACCGAAAGATCTCGGTTCCTTTCGATATTGGCGTATATAGGACCGTCACTTCCTGGATTATGGCCCCTGATTTCACGAACCGTGGACCCAGTAGAAGTAACAGTTTTTATTTGATTGTAAAAAAAACATTCAATTATAGCAGGTCAAATTTTTTTATCCGAAATTGACGAGACTTGAAATATAGGTCTATCTCCCAAAGATCTTGGTTTCTTTCGAAATTGGCATGTATTGGACCGTAACGTAATGGATTATGTACTCTGATTCTACGAAAAATGACATTTTTAGCTTATGAACACTCTAGAGGTCACAATTTTCATCCAATTTTGATGAAACTTGAAATGTATGTTTGGTTCCTTTCCATATTCGCGCATATCTGATTGTAACTTTCTGGATTATAGCCCCTGATTGTACGAAAAATCGCGTTTCTAGCTTGTGATCCCTCTAGAGGTTACAATTTTTATTCGATTTAAAAGGCATTCGAATATATCACCGTTACACCATAACTACGGTTGAGTTCACATTTCCTGAAAATAAGTCCGAGCTGCCCGACAAAATGGCCGCTCCCCTAAAAGCATACAATATTCAGTTTAATCTAAATATTAAGGCCACCTCCAGATTTCGCCAATGTAACGTGATGTAAACAAGGCTAGCGCAAAACCTAACCAAAGATCTAGCCCTTTCCCTAACTCACAAACCTCTGCAACAATCACTTGCCCTAACCCTGTTTATATGTCGTGACCTTGACGAAATCTGCCAGTAGCTTTAACATTAGGATCTGATCGTAATACCCAGGTTGTAGACCATCCAGCGGTTCGAATTTTTTATCTAATTTTGATGAAATTTAAAATATATATTTATATCCCAAAGATCTGGGTTTCTTCGATATTGGCTCGTATTGGACCGTAACTTTCTGGATTCTGATCCCCTGATTGTAGGAAATATCATGTTTTTAGCTTACGGACCCTCTAGGGTTCATAATTTGTATCTTATTTTCAAAACTGTGCAAATATATCACCGTTACACAATAATTATTTCTGCAAAATCGGACCGAAACTTCAAATAGCCACTCCCCTTTTCGAAAATAGTATAATGAAATCATGTAATACCCAGGTTGTGGACCATCTAGAGGTCACAATTTTATCCGATTTAGATGAAACTTATAAAAAAGTATCACTAGTTCATGGATGGGTTCCATTTGCTTGCGCATCTGCCCCTGCCTTTTACACAAAATGTTAAATATGAATAAGGTTTGTGTACCTTTCACTATGAACTTCAACTTTGTGTTAAGGATCAAAAGTTCTTGGATTAGTTCGACTTTGGTAGTATCAGACCTTACATTCTAGAGCTATAGCCCCTGCTTTTCACGCAAAATCTGAAATATGTACGGATTTTGTAGGCACCCCAGGTGGGGGGACTACCATTGTCCCATTCTGATGTACCTTAAATATGTTAAGAATCAAATGATCTTGAATGATAGGATAGGCCTTTTGATTTTACCCCTTCCCCGTCCATTTCTTACAAAATGTGGGCATATCTTGCATGGCAACCGCTTGTTTCAACTGGCCATAGCAGTGAATTATTTGATGGATAAGGGGCACAAGGAAAGAGTATAAATAAAACTCTATCCCGTCGTTTTTCTAATTACCTAATTATGTCATAGATACAACAGACATGAGATGGACTTCAAATAAAGATCGACCGTTCAGTTATCTAATCGCGACCCTCGCAACCGCGGGTCTCATTACCCTTGGAACAGTATAGAGCATAGCAGGGTTTTCTTCTTCTGAAAGTCTGTGTTCTTGAAGTCTCACTTCTACTTACGTCTATGTTAAATTCAAGCCTTTTTGTTATTAATAGAATAGTTACTTGCGTGCAACAATCTAGAGAAAAGGGTACTTGCGGCCAAAATATTGGGGGGGGGGGGCTTTACTATTGTACGTGTACAGCTAGTATTCCTGCTTTCCATGCAAGGCCCTTTGGCTTCAGTGCAAGGGAGTCGCGGTGACCTAGTAAGGGTTTTACCTAGACAGTTCCCCAAACTTTCCTGCGTTTTTTCTCCTTGTCAGTGGTGCGGGAAGGGGTGGGGGCTGTGATAGGCAACGTCTAGTTATTCTGATGAGATATAAAACATCACTGTTTGGGTCAAATTTCCCCTATGGCATAATGTGAGAGATTGAAGGCATTGGGCGTTTTCTCCAATATTTAATTTTATGTCCACTTCACAATTGTTAGTATAAACATAATAAGGTCCATGGTATAAATATAACATTTAATTGACAATTATCACAATTTTCATCTGGCCCTAAACATTTTGCTTGGAACTCTCTGGATCTGTGTTCCTGGTGTGATAAGCTTTCCACAAATGTATATAGTTTGTTTTGTAGGGAGGACCTTGTAGCGGAATTGTGTTTCTAAGCAATATAAAAATTTGAGCTGCAGGCCTAAAAGCTCTATCAAAATCTATAGGATACTATAACGATATTTTCCTTTAGAAAATTTCCCATAAACCGCACGAGATCGTACAGAAGGCTATCTTTACTATATAATCTGTAGAATATTTGGGTCCGGTATTTCCTAGAATAGGCCTACTTAGCACAATAAAATTCTATCATGGCGTTGTGATACAATAAAATCTTATCTTAGTTATATCTTCTATTAAGGGCCACGCCCTCCCTGCCTCAGGAGGGAAACGCAAAACTCAGTATTATATAATATAGAAAACTCTAGTATTCTTTGCGATTCGGGGTTATTCACTTTAGAATCGTGAATATTTTTTTTTTTTTTTGGACGGAATAAAGTGAATTCTTCGCCAAAACTTTGGCATGCAAATGAAGGTCACAGAAAGTGACTATTATATATCAATTATACGAATATTCACTGTTGTAAATCCAACTGCGTATTTTGTTTTCATATAATAGAGTTAATTCCCCTGGACTGGAAATTTCAAAAGAATAGTCATAATTCTATTTATAGCCTGTACACGCATGTTACTAGCCATATGAAAGGAACCCGGATGTAGGTTTTATTCACAAAAAGAAAACATTCGATGTCACTGAAGGAGAAATAAACACTCGTTTGTACTCCTAGTTCGCGTCAAGAATCTTCACGATGTCTACACCAGCTAGGCGGAGACTTATGAGGGATTTTAAAAGGTAAAATGAAGGTTTTATGATTATGTGGGTATATTTATATTGAAATTATTATGAAATGAGATTGTTGAGGAAATCCAAAATGGCCGACTTAGACTCCGTCTAGAGTGTGTGTAAACGAAAATATTAATAATAATTTAGTAGTCTACACCCACTGATATTTATATATATGTGTTTCAATTCCGTTAGATCAAGGAAAACAATGAAATCTTTTAGAATAACACTGCAAGTACACAAATAATTTGGGGCTTGAATCGAAGCCAACAGTGGTAACATCAACGTACTACTGCTAGTGCTAGGCCCTTCAGAAACTGACCTCACACTATAACTATAATATCAATATCATTGCCATTTCCAGTACGCTTACACTTTGCTTGCCAGTTGGTCATAAGCTGTATTTACATTTGGCTGTGATAAATGGTCTGTGAACTGTTGCAAGGTGCAAGAAGATGCAAAAACATTGCACCCTTTTTTAGCCAGAACGGATCCTGATAGGCCTACGCTAACTCAATTTGTGGTTTGATTTTATAGGCCTACAAAATTTCATTTTAATTTAAAGCCCTATTTATTTTATTATAGATTACAGGAAGATCCCCCGGCTGGTGTTAGTGGAGCTCCTACAGATAATAATATTATGGTATGGAATGCTGTTATATTTGGGTAAGTTACGTAATCAAAATGTCAACAAATGAGAATTTAGTTCCCATCCACAGTGTACAGAGAAACGTCTATATATTTTTAATGGTTTATTTTAGGCCTCATGATACTCCATTTGAAGATGGCACTTTTAAATTGACAATAGAATTCACAGAGGAATATCCCAATAAACCACCTACAGTTAGATTTGTATCAAAAATGTTTCATCCAAATGGTAAGTTGATACTTTTAAACCCCCATAAATGCTCTGTTTCCAGTAACCCAACCAACCCATCACAAAATCTGCCGACTTTTAAAAAAATGTTAATGTAAAGAGAAATGAAAAACTTTTCTTACTGGTCGACCGTTCAGAATACGCTCCCGGAATTTATAACAGTATGCAATTAGACATATATTTCAAACAGAGAGAGAGAGAGAGAAATGGGGTTTACCGTTCACTTGACACAAACTAGGTCATTTCAGGACTAACATGTGGTTCAATTTTATTCATTAATTCGCTTGCGTGTAGGGGCCTTTAGCATTGGGAGGAAACCGGAGACCCCAGAGAAAACCCACAATGTTAGACAGGCAACCCTACTCCTTGTTTTAAATATTCATATGCATAGTTCTATTTAATTTTAATTTTAAAACCCTATGAAACTTGAAATATAGGTTTATATTTATTTCAAAGATCTTGGTATCTGTTTGTGATAAAGCTATTGGGTTATTCTACTGTAGATAAATTCTAGAGACCATGTCCTGTGTTATGTTATTGTTTATATTTTGAAAATGTTTTCAGTGTACGCCGATGGGAGTATATGCTTGGACATTTTACAAAATAGATGGAGCCCTACATATGATGTATCTGCAATATTAACCTCTATTCAGGTGAGTAATTGTTGATATAAGGCCACAGTTTTTAATAGATTTTTTTCGAATAAAAGGTGAAGCATTAGGTTCCGGAGTGGACGAAACCCTATAGACCGGAGGCTCAGCCCACGGGAGGTGTCCATCAGATGGGCACAAAACCAGACCCTACTTTTCTATAGTAAAATTTTGCGTATAGTAAGATGCCAAGTGGTAATCAGTCCGCCGTTAGGGCGTTTCCGAGATATTCGGGGTCAAAGGTCAAATGAGGTCATTTGCATGGAAGTGAATGCGCATTCATTATTGTATCATGAAAATAGGCTAAAAATGATTGAAAGTAATCACTCTTTCAATAAAAATGTAATCTTGCTAAATTCACCTTTAGTCATAGTGACCCCGGAGTTCAAAAGGTGAAATTTTCCGTTTTTGCACTAGGAAGGTTTAAAGCAATAAAATGTCCGCGTAAAATATAAAAACTAAAGCAAAACCTGTTCTAATCAATAGTACTAAAACTTATCTTTAGGTGGTCTTAGCACCGTACGTTTACTTTGGAACTTCGAAAAAGATCTTGCATAACAGAACCAACACATTTCAAAACCTGTTGCAATAATACATAAAAACTGTCAAATCAAAATCTCCCCGATTTTGTTTAACAACGATTGTTATACCTTATGAAAATAGTTGTCCTATAAATTATAAACAATTGAACATGCAGGCCGCGTGGATTTCCGGGAATCCCAGTCTTGGAAAACCAACATTTATCTGTGACCGGTAAACATGTATTTAATGACGAGATTTAAAGTTTGCAAATTATTTTATGAGTTTTCATAAACCGACGGATGCATTGTACATAATAGCTCACAGGCTATAAATGTCGTATTGGTAAATGTTACCGGGGAAAAGTTTGGTAGACTTTGTGACGCGGCCTGCTGACTAGAGTCTAGCCATGGAACTGTTCAATTGTTTTTTTTTCAGACAACTAGTATCATTATGTATAGCTTTCGTTGTAAAACTAATTCGGGAAGATTTTGATTTGACAGTTTTTACGTATTATTGAAACCGGTTTCCAAATCTTTTGGTTTAGTTATGCAAGATCTCTTTCGATGTTTCAAAGTAAAAGTTTGGTGCTAAGAGCACAAAAAGATACATTTTAAATGTTCCTATTATTAATTAGAATAGATTTCGCTTTAGTTTTTATACGCCCACATAGAAATGTGGACGTATATTGCCGTCGCCCCGGTCCGTCGGTCCGTTATCATCCAGTTGTTTTAAAATTGATATATGTTGTTTGCATTAGTGAAATGAAGAAGCGTAGTTAATTTCAATAATTTCCGTTTATTACGTCTAGAGGTAGAGGTATGGCCCTCGTTTCACTTTATTAAATCTTGTGAACCCTCTAATGCCAAAAGTTAACATCCAATCTTTGTGAAATTTATATTCAATATTTAAATTAGGAAAACGAAAAAGCCTATTGAATTTCAGCAATTTCCGTTTATTACTTCTAGAGTTATGGCCCTTGTTTCACTTTGTTCAACCTTGTTAATGCGCGATTGATGAAAGTTAAATTAGTGAAACGAAGAATCCTATTGAATTTCAGCAATTTCCATTTATTACATCTAGAGTTATGGCCCTTGTTTCACTTTATTGAACCTGGTGAACGCTCTAACATCAAAAGTTATCTGTCGATATATATGAAATTTACATGTGTCACTTAAATTAGTAAAGAGAAGAATCATATTGAATTTCAGCAATTTCCGTTTATTACTTCTAGAGTTATAGCCCTTGTTTCACTTTGTTCAACCTTGTTAATAAACGATTGATGAAAGTTATCATCCGATACATGTATGTATGAAATTTATATTCACAGAGGTCTATTGAATTTCAGCAATTTCCGTCAATATGACGGTCGTGAACCTTGTGAATGTTTGAATGACAAAAGTGATCATCTGATCTGTATGAAATTTATATGCATTATTTAAATTAGTAAAACGAAAAAGCCTGTCAAATGTCAACAATTTCTGTAGATTACTTTCAGAGTTGAGATCCTTGTTACAATTTGTAGAACCTTGTGAACCCTCAAAAGGCAAAAATTATAATCTGATCTGTATGGAACTGTCTTGTAAAGGCCCCGAATTACCTACAAAGGAATAAATATGCGACAACCCTTGTCGACAGCTCGGACAATTTAGCTGCTGTGGGCGTATGTTTCGTTGCCTGGCAACCTATCTTTATATTTTACGCTGACATTTATTGCTTTAAATCTTCCTAGTGCTAAAACGAAAAATTTCACCTTTTGACCTCTGGGATTACAAAGAACAAAGGCAAATTTAGCAAGTGTACATTTTTATTGAAAGAGTGATTACTTTCGATCATTTTTATACGCCCACCTTTTCATGTGGACATATATTGCCGTTGCCGACGTCCATCCGTCCGTTCACAATTGTTTGTGGACACTCTACAGGTTACAATTCTTATCCGATTTTGACGAAACTTTCGATATGTATCAGATCGAAACTTCATGGATTATGGCCCCTTCTTGTACGAAAAATCATGTTTTTAGCTTGTGGACCCTATAGAGGTCACAATTTTTATACGATTTTGTTGAATCTCGAAATATAAGTTTATAACCCAAAGATCTCAAGTCCTTTCGATATTCTCGCATATCGGATCGTAACTTCCTGAATTATGGCCCCTGGTTGTACGAAAAAGCAAGTTTTTAGCTTGTGGACCCTGTAGAGGTCGTAATTTTTATCCGATTTAAAAAAACGTTTTAGTATATCACCGTTACACCCTAAGGAGGGTTGAGTTTGAAAACTGACAGACAAAATGGCCGTCCTCATTCTCAAATAGCGTAAAAATATGGTATATCAAGGTTGTGGACCCTATAGAATTTGTTGAAACTTGAAATAGAAGTTTATAACCCAAAGATCTTATTCCCTTTCGACACTAGGGACCGGGTATCATTCAGATTTGATGAAAAAAGGAAAGAAACTGAGCTTACCATCTATAATCTAATACACATATTCAGTTAATAGATTGCCATGCAGAAAGTGTTAAATACCATCAAGATTCATCAAAAACGCCCAGTCATAAAACTAAATGGTCATAAACTGGATGACCAATATCAAAACTAAACTAAATGGTCATAAACTACATGTAGATGACCGATGTCAAAACTAAATGGGGTTTCTTAAACTAAACGATAGCACAAACTGGGCGTTATTTGATGAATCTTGATGGTATTTAACGTATTTGTACGGAAAATCGCTTTTTGTTTAGCTTGTTCTCTATCCATCTCTTGCAAAATGTGGGCTTATCCTGCCTGGACATATATTGCCGTTGCCGACGTCCATCCGTCCGTTCACAATTGTTTGTGGACACTCTACAGGTTACAATTCTTATCCGATTTTGACGAAACTTTCGATATGTATCAGATCGAAACTTCATGGATTATGGCCCCTTCTTGTACGAAAAATCATGTTTTTAGCTTGTGGACCCTATAGAGGTCACAATTTTTATACGATTTTGTTGAATCTCGAAATATAAGTTTATAACCCAAAGATCTCAAGTCCTTTCGATATTCTCGCATATCGGATCGTAACTTCCTGAATTATGGCCCCTGGTTGTACGAAAAAGCAAGTTTTTAGCTTGTGGACCCTGTAGAGGTCGTAATTTTTATCCGATTTAAAAAAACGTTTTAGTATATCACCGTTACACCCTAAGGAGGGTTGAGTTTGAAAACTGACAGACAAAATGGCCGTCCTCATTCTCAAATAGCGTAAAAATATGGTATATCAAGGTTGTGGACCCTATAGAATTTGTTGAAACTTGAAATAGAAGTTTATAACCCAAAGATCTTGGTCCCTTTCGACACTAGGGTCCGGGTATCATTCAGATTTGATGAAAAAAGGAAAGAAACTGAGCTTACCATCTATAATCTAATACACATATTCAGTTAATAGATTGCCATGCAGAAAGTGTTAAATACCATCAAGATTCATCAAAAACGCCCAGTCATAAAACTAAATGGTCATAAACTGGATGACCAATATCAAAACTAAACTAAATGGTCATAAACTACATGTAGATGACCGATGTCAAAACTAAATGGGGTTTCTTAAACTAAACGATAGCACAAACTGGGCGTTATTTGATGAATCTTGATGGTATTTAACGTATTTGTACGGAAAATCGCTTTTTGTTTAGCTTGTTCTCTATCCATCTCTTGCAAAATGTGGGCTTATCCTGCCTGGACACCTCCCCGCGCTGAGCCTTCAGACTACTTTATATTTAGTTCACCATTCTGGAGTTGCCCCCTACATGTATTTGCAAAAAACCTTGTGAATATTATTATAGAGACTACAGTTATTAATAGAATTGTTTCAAATTGAATATGAGAGGACTAACCATATCAATATTCAGCTTTCCATGATCTTGGGACCCTTCTTCCCCAGCTCTTGAAACCTGTTGAATGCTATAGAGACTAAAGATAAAAGATTTTTTTCAAACTTGTCAAAACAAAAGAGATCATATTTTTTTAAACATATAAATCAAATTTGGTCAATATGCAAGTTTTCTTTTAGAAAAAGCTGTTGTCTATATTTTAGTTCAAAAAGCCATGCACACTGGGAGCTACAGTGGCTCAGTATGCAAGGCGCTGGCTCACAAAATCAGCGGGGTCACAATTAAATAATGTATTGGTTCTCATTCGAATTGGTAACAGCTCACAGCAATGTAAATGTACGTCATTGAAGCATGACCGAACCAAGAAAGACGAAAACTGTGAACAAGCGTTTTAATGACACCCTTTACCTATGTTTTTGCCTCATTTGAGTTGCTGTTTAACAAGTCTTTCAAGTCCTAAACGTTATCGGAACTTGTCACATTAAACTTCCTGAAACTGGGAGATATGGATATAATATAAAAGGGATTATTTAAGAAAGCTAAATGTTGTCAATCATCATCATTCAAAGTTTACATTTAATTATCATCACTTCATTACTTAATGTTATTATATCATCCTTGAAATTAAAAATAACAATATAATTATAATTAAATACATATTAAATATTGATACTTGTGATTGACAAATTTTTGTTTTCTTTGTAGTCTCTTTTACATGATCCAAATCCCAACAGTCCTGCCAACAATGAAGCGGCACAGTTATATCGAGAAAACCGGCGGGAGTATGAAAAAAAAGTAGCTGCAATTGTACAGGAGAGTTGGAATGATGATGACGATGATGAAGATGAGGAGGAGGGGGAAAAATCCTAGCAACCTGTGATATTATAATTAATAAAAATACTAAATAATATTTTAGTGCGGTTTTATTGCCCAAAGAAAAAAAAAAGACACTGTTTATTTTTCATGTAAATGTATAATAAACCCAAGGCTACCATTTTATAAGATAAAAGTATACTGGTAACATCATTGTGTTTATATAAGAAGAATATTATGTTATTCTTCTGATAAAAGAACTTATTTATTTCATTTTATTATAAAAGTGTAAGTACAGAATGGTGTATATACATTCTTGAAATAAGGAAAAGTATATAGTTTATTTGTTGTTAATGTTAATCTTTTGTCAAGTGTAATTTATGAAAATCTCATTTTATATAGAAACCTTTTTTGTCATCTTTTTATACTGTAATATCAGGACAACTATGAAATTTGCGGTTTGGCAATTAAAGTTTGTAACTTGAGAATGAATCACAGATTGTTGTGTACCCCTGTCATCCTCAACTTCAGATAATCAATATTCAGATAGTTCTTTCTCACCCCTTTTAAGTTGTATATTTTTCAACTTTCCAGTCTTTGCTTGATGAACCTAATCCGAACAGCCCAGCTAATAACATAGCAGCCCAAATGTATCAAGAAAATCGCCGAGAATATGAAAAGAAGGTTAAAGTTGTTGTGGAAGAAAGTTGGATATTTTTAGGCGAAATTGACAGTGACAAATGACCAATATAAATAGACTTAAACATATATTACCGTACTTGGTCAAAGATATATCAATAATAAATGAGTTTTCATAGGGGAGGTGAAGATTATTATTGTTATGGACATCGGCTTAAGTAAACTTTATTCACAACACAAGTAAATGTAGTATTCACATCACAATTCTTTATCAGTGTAAGTAATGTTCTGTTAGTATCTATGAAGCTGAATGATTTTTGTTAGGAATAAATGGCACATTCAGGGCATGCTTATTCTTACAAGATTACCTTTTGATCTCTTAAATATGTAAGACATGTTATGTCACTTTGTATAGCAAGTTACTGATTCTTTTTAATGTGAAATGACCCACATTCATTTCTTAATCAGCTTCATAAGATGTCACATTCAAATAAATACCATTATTTACACATGGTTTGTTAGCACATTATGGCTTATTATAATCAATACATGCATTTGATTTAGTTACATGTATATACTTGTATGGGTGGTATTATTTCGAATAATTTGACTTCATGTACCTGCAATTTCACTCAATTTGCTAAAGTATGTGTAAAGTATGTTCTTGGACTTTATTGTTTCAGCTTATCTGGAGGGTAGGTATCAATGATGATAATAATACACTGTGGTCCAGCATCTTCCCATTATGTCAAGTACATGCATCAAAAGTACAACTTATTCATAATGATAAACTGTGATTAACACACACAGCCCTGAAATATTCATGGGTGAATATGGTATAATAAATTTCAAAGATTACAGAAAGGTTATTCATAAGGGCTTCAGTATATCATTGTTGGGAGTTAAACTGATATTTTGAGCTGAATTGAACTTTATGTAGTTGTAGTCAAGTGACAATAATTTGGATGAAGTTGGCATGGTGTTATATTTGTTTCCTGCTCACTAGCTTTATGTATTATATTGGTACTATTTGTAAATGAAGATGTGAGACTTATAGCTATATGTACAAAGTGTAAAAGATTGTAAACATCAGTTTGTTTTGTCTTTGATATTTTCTTGCATGTTCAGTTTCTACTATTACCTCACATAACTGAACTATCACTGCATCTGGTGATCGGTGCTTAACGCAAAAAAGGTATACTTACTTTTTCCAGAAAATTGATACCACTTTTCATTGCGGTTAACACAGTTAACCATTTTTGTCACGCCGCCGTCAGTCAGTCCACAATCTCTTGTTATTTACTATTAAGAGTTATGGCCCTTGCTGACTTTATAGAGTTTTGTTATAGCAAACATTGTATCTACTTTAAATTGATACATGTATTCTTTGTTTAATGAAAGTCATTTAAATTACAACAGTTTCTGATAATTGCACTTGATCACTGGTACATCATGGAAACCTATCAATGTGCCAATTATATTTTACAGTGCAATGCAAAGATTTTTTTACCTAAAGAATCACAATAATTTTTCTTACTTAGCTGTACCCACTCTTACAATATGGAGCAATACTAAAGTTACCGGATTCCATTCAAATATCCTTCTACTTTATAAGAAGAGGATGGATGTACATGTATCATGTATCACAACAAGCCCTTTATCTGTATTCATACATCTATTATGCATATTATTTTATTAATCTACATGATCATATAAATATGTATACAGGAGGAAATTTCCCTCAACTTTTTCTGGGTTGCTTGATTTTCAAATAACCACAACAACGGTTCACATAATTATATAGGATATAAAAAAAAACAAATATTTATGATATGTACTTATAATAGTATAGAACTAAGACTTATGACACCAATTAGTTAGGTTTATTTTTTTACTGAGCAAACACTTGAAATTTTACTTGGAACAATACTGATACTATGATCTGTTAACAAGCTTCATCTATTAATAATATAGAGTTATATGTCACAAGAGGGCCCCTATTAATCAAAACCTGTATATTTTTTATAGCTAAAGTGGGGAGAAACTGCTTTCAGCTAGTTGTAAACATGCTTATAAAGATCAAATTGGAACTGATGGTGAATGTTAATTTATCCCATGACCAACAAAATGGTGAATGCCTAAGAAGATGCATCACCCCAAAGGCATGGTCTCTTTTTTCCCCACAATTGTTTGACATCATTGACACTTAAAAGGCTGATACCTTCAATAGCTTCCATTTTACCTGTTAACATATTTCTCTCAACTTGTTTACATGGAAAATGTAAATGGCCATTGTAAGAGCGCTCATATTAATGGCAACTTGGAATGAAATGGGGGTTTAACAACCTACATCAACTGGGCTAATGAAGAAGGCAACAGCAACTTAAAACATGTATTATGCAAGAGCTAAATCTGCCTATTGCAGGTCTTTCTTTAGGCCTTATATGTCATCTAAATTATTAATTTAATTGTATTTTAATATGATAAAATTCCTGATCAAATGTAGTCGTATTTTGTCGTCGCGTCGGTCTGGCATCCACAATTGCTTGTGGACGCTCAAGAGACTAAAGTTAAATTTATTCACAGTGTTTAAGGTCATGAGACAAAGAAGCCCATTGATTTTTAGCGATTTCCGATAATTACTGCCAGAGTTGATCACTTCAAAAAATCTTGTGGACGCTCCAGAGGCTAAAGTTATCATCTGATTGACTTAAGATTGATATACAGAGTTTAAGGTCTTGAGACGACAAGTATATTGATTTTCAATACTTGTCTGATCTTCATGTAGTGTAGGCCATCGAAAGTATAAAAAAACGAAATATAGATCTGTATTTTAATCAGATTGAGTTGTTACTCTTAATCAGATTTTAGTGTATTATAAATGTTTCATTACCGAAAAAAGTAAAAATATGCGACAACTCTTGCTGACTGCCCGGACGATTTAGCTGCTGTGGGCGTATGTTTCGTTGCCTGGCAACCTATCTTTGATTTTCTAAAAGAAATTTTATTATTATATTAAAATACAATTAAATTAAACAGAGATACAATTAAAATCTGATATGACAAATGTCTGATTTGTAAAACAAATATTGATTTTAAGATAGGCTAAAATTTGAATATACAAGAACTAAGAATTAACAACACAGAATAAAGAGCTGTTTGGTCTTCATAGGCTCCTACTGTGTATTTGACACTCTCAAGACATTTTTCAGACTTTTTCATGTTTCCGTGAAAACGAGTTTGAGTCAGTAGTAAGAACATTTGTGTCAATAGCAACTAGTTTCAACTGACTGGAACTACCGGTAGTAGCTTTCAGTTGTAGAGGCATTCAGGTCGACCATTTTCAGTTGGAAGCCAGTTGTTCCCAGTTGTAAGGTTGACATACATGTAAGCCCGACTTAGACGTCTTGTTACAGGTGTCCTTCCAGAGTAGGCTAAGCATAGCATGGTTCCTAAATTAAATATTATGTAGGCCTACTGGTTTAAATGACACTCTAGTTAATGGCCACTCCTAATCGTGCCGACCGAGATACAAACCATTTAACATTGTGTATTTATGTTGTCAATCAGAAAACACTACATTATTGAAGAGTTACCTCCCGTTTTAATTGGAAGTTCAAACTATTTGAAACATGGTCATTATTAGCAATAATAATGTTGATATATTATCAAAAAAAATCTAACTACTGATCAAAAGACAACATTTTACACAGAAATATATGTACCTCCCTTATATCTGTTCGTTTGATAAGCCTAACTAGTATTTGTTAAGACTTTAATATCTACGTGGCATTGATTGCATATTCTTCAATAAGCTTTTCAATTCTTCTTGAGAATCTTATTTTAATAATTATCTAAATATATATGTATATAAAAAATAATATATAAACATTCGTTAAATCTGTTCAGCACTTTGAAGCTACTAGTACAGTCATCCGACTTCTAACAATCCTGTCAAATTAATAATATCAATATTATATATATATATATATATATATATATATATATATTAGTCGAACAAAATAGATTTTAATGACATAAAAATGAGACTTAAAAAAAAAAATGGCAGTTACAATTAAAATATCCCTTATAAAAACCATGTGATGTACATTTCAACATTTAAATATATATATTTCTCAACAACAAAACATTAGATCAACAGAATTTACATGTAAATTTGAGTAATACTGGTCATCATTTACATAATCTAACACCTAGACAATCTATCAGATCTACTTTTTAAATATCACCATCTCTTTCATAAAGACCTAATATACCAGTAAAACTCAAAATTGTATATTTGAGGTTGAAATATGTAAATAATACAATTAACATCAATGAGAAGTTAAACCATTTAAAGAGGCTAAGACCCCTTGGGTCAAAATAAAGTATTAAATTGGGTTTATTTGATGTGTTATTTCGATTAATGATGTCCTGACCTCTAAATTTTTGTAGTGAATGGGAGTTTGTTTACAGAACACCAGTCGTTATATCTATGGGTGTAAAGTTTATTAAAGTTACAGTTCATTTACATGAAAGATGTGAATTATATAAAGATATGTACTGTATATAGTTTATTTAAGGGCGATGAGTAGTCTAAGATAGATGAGTAGTCTAAGATACGCACACTAACTTTTCAACACCAATCTTATTAAGACTTTGCTAACTTGTTCCACGTATAAAATAATCCAGAGGGCACATTACAGTCTGACCACTTGTTGTGTAATAATGGAGATACAAGCGGAAAGAAAAAAACTATTTATAGCAAACAATACGTTTTCCCCAACCTACATGTAGATCAGTTCTTAAATGAATTATGATGTCGTACACACTGTTCACGTCATCCGCTGTAAACAATCATGGCCGCCTCCAGCAGCAGTTTCACATTAGATTATTGACATCAGAAGGAATTTCCTCTAATATGGGATTATCCAGATCTACCATCTATCACGATTGGAACATGGCTGATTTCATTTTTTGATGGTCGAAGACTACCATTTTTGAATGTAAAGAATGGGGACATATTCAAAGAATCTCGTTTGAAGGTAAATAATCAACAAATATTTTAAAATACTTTAAGTTGATATTTTATAATGATTTTTGGTGTCGAAATTTCCATGAATACCAAGACAAATCACAATATATAGCAGGCATAACTGAGAAGATTTGTCTTTTGTTGTCATCAGCACCATTATTATCATGCATTTGGGTCAAGTTTGGAACATGGTAAATAAAATTGCTAATTTTTTGATGATTAATATGTAGTTTATAACCCCAAATAACAAAAAAATGTCATATCTTATGCACAAAACATACAGCCCTAGCTTTAAAATGTGCATTTTAGACTGCTCAACTCCCTCAAGACTAAATACTTTATTTATGTAGATATTTTAGATAAGAACGATCCATGCATATGGACCAAAAACAAAACAAATAGCTACTAAGTCTAAACTTAAATGGCACAACAGAACAAAATATCACTACAAAACAATAACTAGAGGAAAATTCCAGTTAAAATTGAACTTTCTGACAAAGAACAACTTTATCCTGCAAATGATAACATAAGGCAATTTAACAGGAATTATGTTTTGACAGTGGTATCATTGTCTTTTTCTGGTAATCTTCACTAGAATGATCAACACTTGAAGACTGAGAAGAATTTGCCAAATATGGTCTATTACTATAGTCATGATAACTGGTATACATCAAATCAGATACACTATTTACTTCAGGGTTTATAGGTTCTGAACTAGAATCTAATTTACCGAGTTCTTCTTCAGGAACAAGTTTCCTTAACCTAGCTACAGTATTTAATAGTGCTCCACGTTCTAATTCTAATGTCTGTACTCGTGACTTAAGATTTGATTCATTAACTTGAGAATCATGTAAAGCAGATGAAAGACTATGTTGTTGACTATGAGCCTGTTGTAATTTCTCCAGTAAGTCCATGTTCTGTTGACGTAAGTTACGATGTACTTTTTCCAGCTGATGAACCAGATCAGAATCACCACGTTTTGAAGTATGTATCATTTCTTCACGTAGAACATGATATTCTACTTCATACGCATGTAGTTGTTTACTGATATTCATATCAAATGCCTGTACAAAACAATAGACATGGTTACAATATCAAAAAAAGATGTGAAAATACTATAATCAAAGAACAACCAAGAATATGATTTTTTATCTTCCTACAATAAATATCTGATCCGAGAAGAAACAAAATCAAATGAGGTTCAATGTCCCAACCAGGCTTATGAAGATGCAGAAAAAAGGACTATGAAAAAAAAAAACCTCTTGTTTGATCCCACTAATAATTGCACTTTTATTTCTGAATGTATTTTATCCAAGTACTACACCCAATATGTCAGCAGAAACTTTTGAATATTACCACAGAATAGATATTATATAGCCATATATAGTTTGAAACAAAATTTTTACCTGGTTTATGACCCTTTCCATTTGAACTTCTATCATTTCAGGTAAGGTTGTTTTAAGAAATTCAACAATAGTTTCAAAACTATCACACTGCATGATTAACTCTTTATGGGTTCCAAGCAAAAGGAGAGCAACTTTATATATCACATCCACTCCTTGTATAAACAGCAGATCTTAAAAACATAAATAATAATATAGAAATACAGGAACATTGTACATATATGTATTTATCATACTCAAGTGTTCATTACACATCATAAAACTTAATCAGTAATGTTATTTACAGTAAACAAGCGGTTGCCATTCAAGATACGCCCACATTTTGCAAGAGCTGGATAGAAAACAATCTATAAAAAAAAAGAAGCGATTTTTCGTACAATCAGCGGCCATAATCCAGGATGTTATGGTCAGGCATGCGTCAGTATCAAAAGGAACCAAGATCTTTTGGATATAAACAGATATTTTAAGTTTCATCAAAATCCGATAAAAATTGTGACCTCTAGAGAGTCCACAATATCGTTATTACATACTTTTACACTATTTGCGCACATTGAGCAGCCATTTTGTCAGACAGTTTCAGTCCAATTTTCATAAAATTCAAACTCTTCCATTATTACAGTGTAAGTAACGGTGATATATTTTTCGTACAATCAGGGGCCATAATCCATGAAGTTTCAGATTTGTCAGAATCTGATAAAAATTGTGACCTATAGATCAAAAACACATTGTGGACGGACAGTGGCAACGAATGTATACGCCCACATGAAAATGTGGGCATGTAAAAACAAATATAAACAAATCAGCAGTGAGCCTGATGTCACCCATTTTAATCTAATAATAAATAGATGAAACATATTAATTGATGACACATTTATCTTTTTGAAAAGTATCGAGCAATTAAATAGTTTTATCACTCTGTTTAACATGAGCAGAAAATGCTCATTATTAAATTTAGTCAAGATATTGAAATAATAAAACAAGGTATTGATATAATAAAACTAACATCAATTAGAATCTGAGTTACCGTGTTTCAAAGCATCGACAAATCAAATTACATAGCTTAAAGATACATTCCCGCATACAAACTGGGGGATTTGATGATCTATTTGGACTAAAAACATATTCAAACTAATTAATCTATAAAAATTTTGCTTCAAATCCTTCGCAAAACATTGTCTTCACAAGGGAATACCCCTGCTATAAAAATATATATTAAAAGAGGTCATGTTAGTGTCACGTAGCTTGGCTGACGCAGTAGCCTACCTAGCAACGGGTGTGAAGCTGGAGGAGAATTCATTGCATATACAAGACAATGTTGTCTTTAATTGCTGTCTATTTATTATAAATATTGAAGCCTAATTAAATTCTCGGATTATCCACTGCCCAAGTCTTTTTCCATGGTTTTTATCTTAGAAACTGTTGTACGCTTCAGCTCGCTGTCTAGTGTACCAAAATATACATCAAGCGCTCTCTAACACTGAGAAATCAGACAATCTTCGCATGCAACCCTTGACGTCACTCGAGCAGTCATCCCCAATTGCCAGGTTGCCAGTTAGGGAAACCCTTACATTTTTGGTTTGGGTGTTTTTCAGGGAATCCAGTATTTTTCTAGTAAGATTGAATGTTTCTACTTTCCATACCAAAACTGTCATACTTTTATTGGAAATAACCACCCGATAAATACTTTAGTGGAAAAGTATCTTTAAGCTGGAAATGCTAATTATCAAATTACGTCACGACATTCACCTGATGAAAACATACACCAAGTTTAATCATTCTACCGCAATTAAATGCTGATTTATTATGTTACAAAATCTCAACCAAATTGCTTATCTCTACTTTCCCTAAGCAGAAATCTCTCATTGAATTTAGTCAAGGTAGTCTATTGATGAAAATCGCCTGGGTTTGTTTTAACCACACTCATTGTCGGTGGAAGTAAATGGAGACTTTGGTAGTAAATTTATTCAAGTATTTATTACTTACCAAATACCCTTGCCACAAAACCTAACGGAAACTGTGAAGCAAACAGAGTTAAAAACCAAGGAGCAGCATATAATGTAGGACCAATTTCATATTTCTCAAAATGTTCATAAAGATCCTTATAATGATCATGTATTAAACGTGTCAGCTGATACAGTTTTATCTGAATAAAAAATAATATATTAAATTTGAATTCATAAGATGTGAGATAAGAATATGAAATCTTTCAACTAATCAGCATAAAACAAAATTGGTAGCCAACGTACCAATATATATAGTAAATTTGTCCAGACAATTAAACAGGACATAATTTTTATGGGATATCAATCACTGGTTTTATTCTAAAAGCATGGTAATTCGACAAGTATCCTCTTATCTATACTTGTTGGAATATCTTGCTTGTAAAATAAGACCAGTGATCAATATCCCACAATAATTATTTTCTGTTTAATGTGTTCCTTAATCGCTCAATGCCACAAAAGATTATTGTCAAGACAATGTTTATGGGAATTGAAATTTGTTGACCATAATATATTTACCTGTAAAGCTATCATATTTGGACGATATTGTATACGTAAACCTAAATTAAACATCATATACTTTAAAGTATCAAATGCTTCAATCTCTTCCATCTGTAAGTAGAAAATAATAAGTCAAATTTCCTAGAATGTATCCTAATAACATCCATAATAACACAATAAGCACCAGTAAATTCCTTCTAAAAACTGGTTATAAGTTCAGAGAACCTACAAACAAAACAAATGGTGTTTTATTATATAGATATTATTAGGTCTTTGGTAAAACAATCTTCAATACTTAAATTAAGTTAAAGGGCCAATTGAAAACATGATCATAAAATTATTACATTGGTTACTAATAACTACTTTTAACATTGATAAGCTAAAATATCAAATGTTTCATGGCCTAATCTACACTAATATGTACTCAGATTATTTAACATTTAATTCAGAAAACAAAATTAAAATACCAATGCTAGATAATGTCCCAGCATGGATTCAGTCAGATTTAAAACAATAACAAAATGGCGACAGGCTTATTACATAGCAAGCAGCATAGATCGATGAAATTTTAATTCAACATATCTTTGTAAAGACTGAACGGAATTGAACCATTTTTTGATCAATATTCCAATTAGAGATTCATCTTGCACAATATTGTAGTTTGCAAGGGTTTGCAATGAGACTTGAACCAGTTTGTGCTAAATATATGATCAATGTGAATACTTACATGCATGATGAGTATACCAGCTATAAAACTAAGGCCCTGGCAATAACCTACTTCTTGATCCAATAAACTGTAGGCTTTTAATATATTAAACAATTCTAATTGGCCTGGTCCAAGTTGAACAGAAAAATAAGGATGTCCAGGGAATGTACGACCTAAAATAAAATTGTTGTCATAAAATTAGAATGTCTGAAAAATGTCTAATAATAAATATATTGAAAATACACCTTTATTTCATAGAATATAATGGATTACTATCGCAGGAAATACCTTATATATATAAATCTTTGTAGATTGGGTTTCAAATGATCTACATACCAGTACCAGTAATGTACAATATTAGTAAGTGCAGGGGGACTGCACCACACAAAATTTACACAAAAACAAATACACAGACAGGACATCACACTCAGGAAAACACAAACATACAGACAATTAAAAAAAAGTGAATGGATCCGGGGGCTATCAATACTTCGATTAAACTCTTATATAAGGAACTGTAACTGTAACACGGACGGGAAATCTTCCTTTGTTCTTTTCGTTGAATAAGCAGATTGTTTTCCCTCTAGTAGATTGGGTGGAGCTTAAACGTGCAATAACTGGATGTGTTCAATGTTATTGCACACTTTTGCTGGTTTACACTAGTTTTAGTAGAAATCATATAGAGAAGTGGGGTGGGTTTTCTGTGCAATAACAACGAGCATGTTGAGCAGGTGTCAGTGTTACAAGTCATTTATAGCACACTTCATTCGTTAACAGGTTTAACACCTAGGCCTCTGGCCTCTAGTTATACCTGTTAACTTATGAAAGCTGTGCTATATAACTTACTAGAAGATTGCCCGGCTTCGCTCGACTCCGAAACCGGAAGTGGTAGACTAACGCCACCTGGCCTATGTTACTCCCCGGTCCGAGCTACCCCTATACCCCAAATTTCAGACTCAGGGCAGACCTAGTGTAGCCGCCAACCCCGAACAGACAGACAGACAGACAAACAGACAGACAAACGACAGTCACAAATATTAGTATAGATATAGTGGGTCTATACTCCATAATCTTGGTATTACATGCTTTTGCGAAAAGGGGAGGGGCCATTTTGACAGGAAGTTTTGGTCCAATATTCATAAAATTGAACTATACAATATTTATGGTGTAACAGGGATATAATCAAACAGTTTTTAAAATCAAATAAAAACTGTGACCTCGAAAAGTAAGCGCAGGGGGACCACACGACACGCAAACAAAACCGACAAGACAATCCTGTAGCGCGAACAAACTACATAAACATTACAAGAAATAAACAACATATATCACATCAAGTGAATGGATCTGGGGGCCAGCCATAAGTGTCCTCTGCACTGTTCAGTCCCGGGCCTCTAATAATCCTGAATTAATGCGACCAATTTTGACAGTGGTCGTCTCTTGAATGGCAATGGTCTGCCAGTTGGAGCATCGAATAATTTTAACAATAAGGGCGATTATCCAGATAGAATCTCAGTAAAAATTGTTTGTACAATAAGGGGCCGTAATCAAGGATGTTACGGTCCAATATGCACCAATATTGATAGGAACAGAGAACTTTGGGATATAAACCTATATTTCAAGTCTTGTGAAAATTAGAAAAAAATTGTGACCACTAGGATGTCCGGAAGAACAGTGGCAATGACATAATACACCCAGATGAAAATGTGGGCGTATAAAAATTAAAGGCATTTTAAAGATGCATTATGTAAGATTTAGATAAAGTGCTCACAGTTCTCGCTTTAATAGTTAAACAGGCGGTTGCCAAGCAACATATGCCCACATTTTGCAAGCCAAAAATTGAAAAAGCAATTTTTCATACTATCAGGGGCCATAATCCAGGATGTTAAGTTTCATCAAAATCAGATAAAAATTGTGATATATTTGATGGGTTTTTAAAATCAAATAAAAATTGCGCCCCCCAGAGGATCTACAAGTTAAAATCAAAATTTTTGTATAATCAGCAGGATGTTACCGACCGATACATCCCATATTTCAAGTTTCGTCAAAATCTGATAAAAATTGTGAACAGACACATGGGGTGACGGCATAATACATCCACATGAAAATGTGGGCATATAAAAATAATGAAAAGCGAATGAGGTGAAAAATTCAGTCAAATTACTTAATTCTGAGCAGATTTATAGCCATTTGAAGAACAGGGTAGTCTTGATTATCCATTTTTCAATCAAAAACTAGTAATCGTGTTTAAATTCATTGAAAATCAAAAGCATCCAATGGTCTAGAGCATTGATTATGGGCTTGGCATGTGAATAATGTCCAATTAAAGATTTATATAACATTTGAGGCCAAACGAAAGATATGCATTAACGCTTTCACTGCGTATACCCGGTAGTACCGGGTATTATAAAATGTCGGTAAAATGCCCGTACCCGGTAATACCTTGTACTCAGTAAAGCCCTCGCTAAAATTAGTACCGTAACTGCAAGTGCCATCTATTGTATTTTCTATACACTAGAACATATTTCCACGTGTTTCAAAGCGGCAAAACGTAAAATGGCGGAGTGCATAGTGACAACGTAGACGATGCACTCTCGACGAAGTCGTGAATGACATCTTGCTGACCAACACGTGGACAATTTCGAGACGGGTGATACACATAATTCGTTTCCAGTTACTTGATAATGATAGTAGTCAGGACAGTGATTGGTATTATGAAGTGTGTGATTTGTTGCGCGACGTTTCGCCCAGGGCTAGCTATGTCTCCCGTGCATGATGAACAAGCCCAATGTGAACACGATAGCCCTGTGTCTGCAGTAGGCAATTCCTGAGTCCCGAACGTGTAGATCTGTTGACTGACTATATTGATAATGATATGGGACTTGGGGATGAAAGTGAAAGTGAAAGTAAAAACAAGGTATTGCAATCCGCACGTGGTCATGGCAGCGGGAGACGTGATGCGCGTGTTCGTGGCGGCATTGCTCATGGCTGCTATTGATATTTTTGTTCATTTTATATATCTTTATCAAAATCCAGTGAAAAAAACAATATCTTTTAAGTATTTCATGGAGAAAAATTCGTTTTCGTGTTAGCTTTAGTGAGAAATGAGAAATCCAAAATGGCCGCCATGACGTCATGTGACTACATTCTTATGCAAATTTCCAAAATTTTATTTTTTCCTCTTAGCCCAACCTCATGCCCATCCCGACAGACAAAAAGATTTTTCATAAAAGCTTCCATAAGTACTGCTTGGCATTCGGTTCCAACCTCCCTTTTTTCCTCAAAAAAGGGTCTAGCACAGGCAGTGGATTTACATTGAAAGGGTTAAGACAGATTTAGCTCTTACATAATGCATCTTTCATATATCTGGATAAAAAATATTTCCTATCTAAGTTTTTTCAAAGATTTCATGATACTTGCCCTCATTGGAGAGTTAATAAGCTGCCATCACTGGGCATCCAAAATGCCAAGCTCAACAACCTACTAAAATTTCTTCATATCCAACATTAAGTTTCACATATATAACATTGTTAACAAGAGGTTGTGGACTGAGGGACTGAGAAAAATATATGACTATAATATAAGAAATATACCTAGATCTATAAGTATAGCATGTTGATGAGTTGTAAGTTGTTTTAATAAATCATAATAATCAGCATGCGATGTTATTTCACACTCTGATTGGGTTTTATGTATAACATGTTGTTTCCATAGTAATTGCCAGATATTGCCTCTAATACATCGTGGTACACCTACAATACAAACATACATCATCATTATATCAGAACTTTTAAAATACAAATTTTAATATTCAACTCCTGTATAATATAATGTCAATTCCATGTTGAATTGGAATAATACAATAAAATGTATTACAATGTTGTGATTATTACCTTTTCTGACACATTCTAATAAATTTGACATATGAAATTTATAATCTGTAGGTTTACTCAATATATTCTCCCAATCTTTAGTAACATCTTTTAAACATGGTATCACTTCCATATAATCTAACTTATTTCTTTTTAACTGGGCTTCATCTTGTCTAGCTGGAATATAAAACAAATTTACATATGCCAGTCTTCTGATTAATGGACAGTATCATGGGCAGATACAGGTTTTTTAAACAAAAACAATTTTGCAGAGCATAGAAACGCCCACATTTTGCAAGAGACAGACTGAGAACAAACTAAAAAAAAGCAATTTTTCATAGAATCAGGGGCCATAATCCAGGATATTACCGTACAGTCTGACATGTGTCAATATCGAAAGGAACCAGGATTTTTTAAACATACATTTTAAGTTTCAGCAAAATAGGAAGATATGCAAGATACACCCACATTTTGCAAGAGATGGGCAGAGAACAACCTAAAACAAAAAGCAATTTTTGTACAATCTGGGGCCATAATCCATGAAGTTACGGTCCGATACTAACATGCAAGTATCAAAAAGAACCCACATCTTTGGAATATAAACATCAAAATCAGATAAAAATGGTGACTTCTAGAGGGTCCACAACCTTGGTATTACATACTTTTACACTAGTTTATAATCTACCAGGAGTTTGTCTATCTTCTCTGGTTAAAGGGGTTGCCTTTCTACTTTTACACTATTTGTGTACAGGGAGCAGCCATCTTGTCAGGCAGTTTCGGACCGATTTTCACGAAATTCGAACTCAACCGTCATTATGAACTAACGGTGATTGAATTTCAGCCATTGAAAGAATCGTCCTATAAAATCAGGAGTACAGAAATCTGAATGTGCACTATGTACATTGTATACTACTACTGGATTTATTCATATTCAAAGCAATGTTAATTGATAAAGTCAAAATATCTTGAACAGAACCAGTAGTTTATGATGGATGAAAGACAGAAGTGGCTGCATCAGCCATTTGGCTGATTTTCAACTTGATTGAACATAAAATAATGACAAAATATCTCTTTATATATAATACAAGCTAGAACACATATCTATACTAATCATTCATTAATTAAACTAAGTAGGTTCAACACAAGTCAAACAGTTTTAGCTTTTCGATCACAAGGCTGTTCAGTTCATAAGGCTATATTTGGTTCAAGCACAAAATAATAATGTGGACAGATTATTTGTTTCAATATTGATGAAAACTTCAATGCTTCCAACGAAATTTGAAAAACATATGTCAAAAGCTACAGCCTCACAAGGTTTTCATTAAAAGGTGGTAACTCTGGAACAGAAAGTCACAATACAGTGAATATCGATAGAGTTTGTCCTCTCACGACCACAATGCTTAACAACAAATTTGAAAGATAGGTTGCCAGGCAACGAAACATATGCCCACAGCAGCTAAATTATCCGACCAGCTGACAAGGGTTTCCCCATATTTATTCTTTTGTAAGTAATTTGGCGGGGGAGGGGCAATGATCACAAGTGCCTCAACAGAAATTGTTGAACTTTGTTTAAATAATTTAAATAATGCATATAAATTCTATACAGATCGGATGATAATTTTTGTCGTTCGAGCATTCAAAAGGTTCAAGAAGTAATAAACAGAAATTGATGGAATTCGGTTGGCTTCTTCGTTTTACTAATCTAAATAATGCATATCAATTTCATACTTATCAGACGATAACTATTTTTGTTCAGAAGTTTCCACAAAGGAAAACCTGGGCTATAACGCTTAGTAATTCAAATAATGCATATAAATTTCACACAGATCGGATGATAACTTTTGTCATTTGAACATTCACAAGGCTCAACAAAGTGACACAAGGGCCATAATTCTAGAAGTAATTAACAAATTTCTCACCAAATTTCGAAAAATATAGCCTCTATCACGTTCAGGTTTTTGTGAAAATGGGCATAACTCAAGTCACAGAACGCTGTAAATTGATAGGGTTCGTCCTCTCATGACCATGATGCTTCACACCAAACTTGAAAAGAATCCGTCAAAAACAGTAGCCTCTATCACTTTCACAAGACAGTCTGTTAAAAACTGTAGCTTATATTGCATTAACAAGGTTTTCAGCGAAGGGAGAATGACTCCTGAACAGAAAGTCATGGAAAGCTAAAAATCGATAGGGTTCATTCTCTCATGACTCGAATGCCTACAACCGAATTTGAAAAAGTTTAACCTCTTTCAACAAAGGGAGGACAACTTCGAACAAACAGACGAACAACACTGGATTCGTCCTCAGAATTTCATCATAACTTAGTTTCAGTTTGGTGTTTTAGAGAACGAGGACGGTTAGACTGAATACTATATATGGGGTTTATAGAGTAAAGTGTCTATTATAACAACAAACATGTGCAACTAGAGTGATAAAACTAACACAAATATAACGTAATCTAACATTCTTCTAGTAACACCCCTTACCTTTAAACATGACCACAGAACGAGAACCATACATAACAAAATATCCTGTTATATATAAATAGATCAACTTATTATAACCTTGTCCACTTCAATCGATACAGATTGCCGTATATGCTCATAGCCTGTCTCATAAACTCATAACATAAAGTAAGCATCGTAAACCTATAGCACACAGTATGCTTCGAAAAATTATAATACAGTATGCCTCGTATGCTCATAGTATACAGTATGCCTCATAAACTTATAATTCAGTATGTTACGAATGCCTCCTAAACCTATAGCATACAGTATGTTTCATAAACTTACAGCATACAGTATGTCTCATAAACTTACAGCATACAGTATGTCTTGAATGCCTTGTAAACCTATAGCATAAGGTGTGCCTCTTAAACTTATAACATACAGTATGCCTCTTAAACGTATTACAGTGTGTCTTGTAAACTCATAACATAAAGCATGCATCGTAAACTTATAGCATACAGTATGCCTCGTAAACTTATAATACAGTATGTCTCATAAACATATACTGTTTTCCTCAAGAACTTATAGCACAAGATATGCCGTCTAAACTTATAGGATACACTATGACTTGTAAAATTTACAAAATAGAGCATGCCTCATAAACTTATAGCATACAGTACAGTATGCCACGTAATTACAGTACAACATCATGACCCATGTATGAAACATGATTCATGATAACTAGTAGTTAGTAATGATTAATGATCTACATATAAACAAGCCAACATTGAGGCCCTTAAAATACCAAAATAAATAGATGACACATATTAATTAATTGCACCTTTATCTTTTTGTAAAGCATAGAGCAATCAAATGGATTATCTATAATTAGTCTAAGCAGAAAATGCTCATGATTAAACTTAGTCAAGGTTTTGACGTAGTGAAACTATACATTTAGTTTGGCCACTCTCCTTCAATTAGAATCAAAGTTATTGTGTCACATATTATTGACCAATCAAATTGCTTACCTTTGCTTAGTAATTGTGGATAATGTGATTACCGAACACAGTCAAGACATTCATCTAATGAACATCTACAACAAGTTCAAACATTATACCTCAACTAAAAGCAGTTATTGTGTTCCAAGGTCTTAACCAATCAAATCACTTGTCGCTACTCTTAGCCTAAGTATAAAATTCTCATCATCGAACTTAGTCAAGTTTCATCACTCTCACCCAATTAGAATCAAAGTTACTGTTACCAATGAAATTTCTCATCTCTGCTTAGCCTGGGCCATAAATGTTCATCAGACAGACAGACGGACAACCTACTGTAATAGTCCCCTACTGTTGTCGAAAGGTGTAGGACAAAGATATTAAGTGGTAATAAACTTACCCACTAAACTGTGATTTTCTTTTTCCATTCTGATCAATAATAGTGTTTCTAGAATAGCTTTCTTCCACAGAGAACGTAATTCACTACTAGATAATTTACAACCATCCACTTCATCTTGTACTGGACTCTCTGAAAATATATACCTTAAAATACTTAATAGTCACCTTGTGTTACTGTACTGGTTACAAACCATCACAAAATCCTCCTTTATACAAAATAACATTTTCTGAAACTTTATGAATTGTCCCTAACTTGTCCTTTATGTGTATATATGACAGCAGAATTAACTGGGGTATCTGACTTCTGTACATATACCATTACAAATCCACAGTGGAGCTTGCCTTCTTTCACCATTCACACAAAGTCAGACTTAGTAAACTTTTGTTGATAAAATTATACATGTATAGTCTGAAATCACACTTTAATCCATTTACAGGCCACCTCTCTAATCCCTACAGATAATCAATTCCACAGGGCTTAATAGTGGATTTGTGTTAATCTATATCCCCTCTTTAGAGACTTTATAATGGCAAATAACTAACAAACTATTTTTTATACAAACAAATTATTTATTACAAAAATGGACAGATTGTCTTATACTTTCCAATGATATAAATTCAATGATATAAAGTGGAATTATAGTAATAAATCATATTGGAAAGTTATGTTTCACTGAAAGTATGTCTTTTCTCTGTCATAACAGTAAAATCACGTCAACAAATATCATAAAATGTCAGATTCCATATCACTCTCGAAGTAGTATTATTAGGTGTAAGTTAATGGTTGATAATGTTGGAATAATGCCAAAATCGTTGACAGTAGTTGTCACTGTGTGAATTTTCAACTCTGACCTATTACATACATTCCGGGAGAACATCTGTTGAAACAATTTATTTTGATTGGACAATTGGTGAAACAAACAACCCTTTTCATTTGAGGATTTATTTTTTTCACCCAATCAGCATTAATTTAAGAAATAAATACTGTCAATAGAAAGAAGCTGATTGGTCTCACGCAGTATAGCGTTAAGGCCGATGCTCGACTAGCAGATGCTTAATTGCGCTATCAGATAATTAGAGGGCGAGCAATACAGCACTAGCGTGTACAATGTGCAAGTGATTTTACGTGATGAGAATCAGTCTAGTTTCTGTATTGTACACTTACCTGTAATAGATTTAGATTCTGGAACTTGAACTGGAGTTACAACACGATAAAATATTTCCTGTCTCCATGAACTTCTACGTTGGCGTTGTGGGGTAACACACATAGATGGTGTCAATTCATTGGTTGAATCTTGTGTTGTAAAAGAAGGGGGTGTGTCCATGGGTTGGGGCGAACTGGCAAATAAAAAACTGGAAAAAGAAGAATTGACTTAATTTTGAACAAAAAAAGGTCAAATTATTTCAACAATATCTCGAATTACTTGTGGTTTAAATGAAAATCTTTGAAAGGGATCATTATTAAAATTGAGAAAAAATATAAAAAATCAACTATGATAATAAGTTGTCCACTAGCAGCTTAAAGAGTCTTTGACATAAGTGAAAATTGCTTTGTATAGCAAGTGCCACTGGTACCAATGTATATCAAAATGTACAAATGTAAAACATATTGTTTTCAAATATCTATCAAATTGTTCAAGTGTCTTCTTGTCTTTTTTCTAGACTACATGCAGACATATCCAAGAAACAGTATCTTTGCTCCAGTAATGTATGAATATAAAATGCATGAATATTGAATGGAAATAAACTAGTTAAATGGAAATAAACAGGATACTTCCTTTCACTGACCAGACTTAAGGTACACAACTACCAAAATTACATGGTCACCTCCAGAAACTGAGATATAAATGGGTTCAAAATTTACTGAACAAATAATTCTGTAATTCTGGATAATTCAAATTGTTATTTTTCCCTAAATAATCAGTGATGATCCACTACACTGGTATTTGAATTTTCAAGGTATTACACCATTCAAGACTATTCAAGACCATGCGCGAATTATATCGAGATTAATAAATTTGTGAATCACAGCAAGACAAATATGCCATGGAATAGGACAAAAAAAAATTGTTTTCTGTAATTTGCCTCTCTCCTCGAGTTCTCTATATAATTATCAACGCAATTAATGCAACTTACATGTTCTTAATAGGGCTATTGCCATTATTCCTGTTAATATTACGACCTACATGTCTGTAACGTTTAGTGATTGCGCTATGTTTTTCCGTTGTAGTAAGTCGACTAGCAGCAATGGCTGGATCTGGAATGGCACCAACTGTTGAACTACGTTTTCTTGGGGCATCAGGAGATGACGGTGGACTTGGAAATGTATGACGGAAATTGTTTGATACAGGTGAAGCAAGTGGTGAAGCATCTGGTGTAGATGTAGGAGAGGAATCCTGAAAACAAACAGAATAATTAGTTATGATGTTAAGACTAAAGAGATGTATATATTGACTAGGAGTGATTCACCTGATTCAACTGTAACCACAGATTACTCAATATTTCAAACATCCTACAGATACAACATATATATAACAAATACTACTTTAGTCATTTTAATAATCACTAGAAAACCAGCTGTCACAAATAGTTTTATACTCAAACCTATTGATTATCCTATTCTATACATATCATACTTTTATTTTGGGTGCAGAAATTCAACTTCAGTGTTAACTGGTTTGCCAATTCACCACGCTTATCAATGCAGATGACATCATAACTTTCTATTTGTTCTGAGAATAAATCTACCCAGTTATATGTCAATGTATCGTTTTGGACTGTAGTTTGCTAACTACTTTAATAGGTCATTTATAATCTATATTCAGACACAATCTAGCTTTCAGCGTACACTAATCACATCAATTTTGAAAACAATTTAAAGTAAAACACTGATTTTAACAGGTTCCATTACATTTTCCTTAGTCGGTTTGAAAACAAATCTAAAAGTATCTTGAACTACACATAGTAGCCACTGAGAGAAAGTGGGCATTCATTGATTAAAAATAACAAAATTAACCCAAAACTCTGGTCTGCAGAGCGAATACATAGTTTGATTTCTTTGGTTCATATTTATGACTTGTCAAACAATTCTAGGCAGTTTGAAAAGTAATCTCAAAAATCCCAACATTTAGAACGATTGCAGGGTTTAAATGACATGGGTAATAACTTAAGAATAATTGATGCTCAACCATGAATTTGAATATTCATATCCATGAGCAAAAGGCTCAAACATGTGCAATAGCACCATGAATAATTGATGTGTAAATCTAACTATTGGTAGAATTCATCTGGCTATCAACATACAATGAAACATACATTAACAGGGATTTTAATAACATATTGAATTTTTTTTCTCCGGAATCCCTACAAGTTCGAAATTATAGTCACAAAAAATCTTATAAACTCTTGAAATGTTTCACCCTATTCTTTCCAAGAAAGTAAAACAGATCCTCAACACTGTCAACCAATGCTATACACATTATTATTAACCTCGACTCATTACATACACTGTTGACCTACCTTTAATTAATTCACTACTATCTTGTACTGTAATACCATATAATATTGAGTATAAATTCCAACACAGTACATTGAATTATTGACTAATTATATTAACAATCCAATGTGACCTTATATTTATTATGAAATACCTACACATTATTTTCTCTCGATTATAATATATTCAACTCTGACATTACAATTATTTGTAACAGTATGTTGTTGTACAGTTTAATAACTATGTGAATCAATAATAAACTGTAACAAGAAATGTGAACAAGTGGTTGCCATGCAAGATACACCTACATTTTGCAAGAGATGGACAGAAAAGCTGAAAAATGTGTTTTTTCGTACAATCAGGGGCCATAATCCAGGAAGTTACTGTCCGACACGGGCAAGTATTGAAAGGAACCCAGATCGTTGGGATATAAACATATATTTTAAGTTTCATCAAAACCAGATCAAAATTGTCACCTCTAGAGGTTCCACAACCTTGGTATTACATATTTTTACACTATTTGCGTACAGGGAGCGGTCATTTTGTGGGGCAGTTTCGTTTTTTTTTCCACAAAATTCAAACTAAACTGTCATTATGATGAAACAATGATATATATAAACATTTTTTTTAAAATTGGATAAAAATTGTGACCTCTTGATGGACCAGAAGCTAAAAACTTGCTTTTGCATACAATTTGGGCCCATAATCCAGGAAGTTCCAGTCCAATATGCTCAAATATCAAAAGGAAGTGAACATACAATTTAAGTTTCATCAAAATCAGATAAAACTTGTGACCTCTAGAGTGTCCACAATCTAAAAACATGATTTTTCATACAAAGAGGGTCACGGTCCGATACATGCCAATATCGAAAGAAATCGAGATCTTTGGGAGATAAACGTATATTTCAAGTTTTGTCAAAATCGGATAAAAATTTTGACCTATAGAGTGTCCACAAACAAAATGTGGACATCCGGATGAAAATATGGGCGTATAATGATATCATCATATATAAGCTAGGTATTAAGTATTATTATGTGAAAATCGTAATCACAAAATGAAATGACACATATTATTAATTAATTGCACATTTATCTTTTTGTAAAGCATCAAACTGCCTATCTATATTTAGATTAAGCAGAAAATGCTCATGATCAAACTCAGTCAAGGTTTTTGATGTACACAGTGAAACAATACACCAAGTTTCATCACTTTCACTCAATTAAAAACAAGTTATCGTTTTCCAAAGTCTTTTTTTTTTTTTTAAAACTATATTTTATTCAATAAGAATAGGATTGGGGAACAGGCTAGGCCTATATCACCCCTCTCTTGATCAATGAAATTGCTTATCACTTTACTTAGCCTAAGCAGAAAATGCTAAGATCAAATTCAGTTCAAGGTATTTCAAAATGTAATGATACTATACTTGGAGTTCCATAACTTTCACCTAATCAGAATCAAAGTCTCAACCAATCAAATTGTGTATCTCTGCTTAGCCTACATTTAAAATGCTCAAATCGAAGCCAGTGAAGGCATTCACCTAATAAATACCTACAAATGTATAGTCAGAGCTGAAAGCAAGTTAAAATGTTGCTTTAACTGGTTAACACGTTAAAATTTTAAAGTTAATGAGTGATAATTTGAATTAGGCCCTTGCGTGGGCCTGTAAAACGATTTTCGAGCCAAATATACTAAACAGCAAAAAAAAAATTCAGTACAATTTCAAAATCAGAGAGGCACTTTAATCAAATCATTCTAAAAAATGACTTACTAAATGGATCAAAGCAATTTTTTTGTGAACAGTATGTTGACACATTAGTGATTAATTCATCACAATTCTAAGACATTGCGAGAAGGTTTAGAGTCTGTACAGTCTGTTCATCAGTATCTGCTGTGTCCACCGCGAGTGTAAATAACAGCAGCTCAGCGTCTGTACATGGAGTGGACAAGACGATTGATGAACACCATTGGCACCAGGAACCACACTCTCAGAAAAGCCTGGCACAATCCATTGGTTGTGTTTGGTGTCGGTACGACATTATTAAGTCTCCTCTGAATTCCATCCCAAAGATGTTCAATCGGGTTTAAGTCCAGACTAAGGGCTGACCAGTGCATAACTTTGACACCGCTCTGCTGTAGAAGATCCCGAGAAACTTTGGCGGTGTGGGCATGCGGCATTGTCATGTTGGAAAACGTTGTTTCGATGCCGTGCAAAATGTGGTATGTGATTGATGTAGCACCCTGCTGTGATGCCGCCTCCTCTCCCTGGACCAAGATATTGAAACACCACAGGACCCACACTCTGGTTCAGGCCGATTCCACTCCAAACCATTATGCTTGGACCTCCCCATGAGTCTCGTTCCATGACACATTGGTCGGAAAAACAATGGCCACGTTGACGCCATATTCTGGTCCTGTCATCTGCAGTTGATATGCAATACCGACTCTCATCTGTGAACAGAACAGTTCTCCATTGCCTATGTCGCCAGTTCTGGTGTTGTTGGGCAAACTGTGGACATTCACGTCAATGTCGAGGGGTGAAGATCGGTCCACAGTAAGGTCTACGGCAATGGATGTTCTCTCTGGTGAGACGTTGGCGCACTGTATCGGTACTGATGGGTCTTCTGTGTGTTCCAACTGTCTGACATGCTGTCTCAGAAGCCTGTGTGAAGGGATTCTGCACGTGCAGTCGCACAACATGGCGGTCTTGTCGCCTTGTGGTAACCTTTGATCTACCAGTTCGGGGGCAATCATTTGTGGTGTTGGTGGCCCGAAAGCGTTGCTGAAGCCTTAGATGGTCCGAACATTGACCTGGAAGTGATTGGCAACGGCTTGGGCAGTGTGGCCAGCGCTGAGTCTTCCAAGTGCCTGGTTCCTCTGAGCTGTCGTAAGTCGTGGCATGCTGCTGACGTTGTAGTGTGAATGATTCAAGCAAGTATGGGTTTGCATTTTATAGGGCTGGTCCCAGTGAACAGCACGTGCAGCATGAGCTACATGAAAATCATGGAGAACACATTACCATCTCAGAAGTCAGGTTGTGGTAACCTTTGATCTACCAGTTCGGGGGCAATCATTTGTGGTGTTGGTGGCCTGAAAGCGTTGCTGAAGCCTTAGATGGTCCGAACATTGACCTGGAAGTGATTGACAACGGCTTGGGCAGTGTGGCCAGCGCTGAGTCTTCAAAGTGCCTGATTCCTCTGAGCTGTCGTAAGTCGTGGCATGCTGCTGACGTTGTAGTGTGAATGATTCAAGCAAGTATGGGTTTGCATTTTATAGGGCTGGTCCCAGTGAACAGCACGTGCAGCATGAGCTACATGAAAATCATGGAGAACACATTACCATCTCAGAAGTCAGGTTGCGTTTTTGAGAACATTTCCTGGGTTCAATTCTATCTTTGGGAATAAGTCTTATTGCTCAGGTAAAGTTGGAGATGTGGTCACAAATATACAATAAAAACATTTGGCAAGTTTTATGCAATGCGTCTATTCAGAGTAACATACCAACCTGACGTTTCTTTTGCTGCTTATATATAACGCATTAATCTCATTTATACGTTAGACCAGCTCTCAGACCTGCCTATAGTTTGAACATTCTACATCAAAGCCTCAAATAGAAGTAGAAGGAGAATTATTGTGTTCCAAAGTTTTGACAAATCAAATCGCTTATCTTTGTAAATACTGAATGGAATTGAATAGTTATTGGACAGATATTGCTATTGGATTCATCTTTCAAAATACTGTAATTTGCAAGGGATTCCTATTGTTTAAAATCATGCATCGAGACTCTAAACGTCCAATTATGCATATTTGTGGTCACATTATTGCTAAACCAGGCGGGCATGTCAAACATACACAGACAAAACAGAATCAGTGGTTGATACCCATACTATACATGTACATATAACTATTTATTGACTTACAATAGATCCTTTTCGGCTAGAAATACTCTCATTTTCACTTGTCCAACTTCTCTTTCGAAATGCTTCTCTACTATCTTCTTTCTTTCTACCCTATAATGGAGAAAGAAAAAAATCACATTACTTAAACACCCCTCTTCCGTTAATTTTGGATTGAATCACTACAATGAAACTTCATCTCTGAAAAAAAACAGTGGGAGAGAGCCTAGTAAAATCGATGCCTTTTGTAGATAAATGGCAACTTTAAAGACGCATTATGTAAGAGCTAAATCTGCTTATTGTTGGGTCTTTATTTGTTACCAGCCTCAAATCTTATATAAATTATTATTTAGAAATTTATTCACACAAGTATCGAGCCAATATCAAAAGGAACCAAGATCTTTTGAAGATATATCTATATTTAAAGTTTCGTCAAAATCAGATTAAAATTGTGACCTTATACAGTGTCCACAAACAACTTGTGGACGGACGTCCATACGGACAGGGGCAACGAAATAATACGTCCACATGGTGTAATGGTGATATATTTAAACGTTGGGGTTTTTTTTCAATTGGTTAAAATTGGGATTCAAACTTGACCATCGATATGCTGTAACACTGTTATATTTGAACATTTTTTAAAATCGGATAAAAATTGTGACATCTAGAGTGTCACAAGCAATCTGATTAAAATACAGATCTATATTTCGTTTCGTTTTTTTATACTTTCGATGCCTACACTACATGATGATCTGACCGGTTGTACTGATAGTTCGCCTCAGAGGTCATGCGAGCAGCTTTTGACCGTATGACGTCAGACATTTGATTAACCAATCAGCATTGATGTTTCTAGTGGATTACCCACAGTTCCGTGCACCACATGCCAAACGTTTCATTGCCTAAAACCTCACATCATCCCAGAACACGTCAATGATAACAACTCTTCCAGATCCTAGTGTAGTAAAAACAAGTAAAACTAAATTTTGAACTATAAAAAATGAAATAGGATCTGTGTTTTAATCAGATTGTGTCAAAAGCTAAAAACCTTTTGTTTCGTACAATCAGGGGACATAATCTATTAAGTTACATTCTAATACATGCCAATATCGACAGGAACCAAGATCTTTGCGATTTAAACCTGTATTTCAAGTGTCGTCAAAATCGGATAAAAATTGTGAAATGTAGAGTGTCCACAAACCAATTGTGGACGGATGGCCGGACGTCCAGACGTACAGGGGCAACAATAATATAGATCCACATGAAAATGTGAGCGTATAAAAACAAATTAACATCTAAAATTGAGTATACATAATCACTTGTAATCAGTACATAAAAAAAATATAATACATGACATTTTTGGGCCTAAAACATGAGGCTAAATATTTAATACCTTATCTTGTTCCACTGAATCTGCGAACTGAACCTGTTTTTCAAAAGGATCATTTCCACTCTTACTACGTGTAAGAGCATTACGTATCCTATTAAAGAAAGTTGATGGAGCTGGCTCCTCAATCAGAGTAGAATTTAAATCAGAAGTAATATTATGGTTTTTATCATATTGCTTATACTGATTATTATCATCCATATTTGATTCAATTTCTAAACTTCTCGATAATCTCCAGTCCACAATACACGCTATTTACAACAATAAATATGTATCAAATGTTACAACCACTATATCTCCTATAAAATACAACACCTTATACAAATCTTTTTTTTTTTTAGCAACACACATCTGTTTTAAAGAAACACTTGACCAAACAATATCTAATATCTCTTTTCATTTTAGATGAGTTTTCTAATTTCTAAATGTATTAAATAGGTGTATATTCTCAAAATAATTCTTATAACTGAATTATTTTTGCAAAGCCAGGGACACTAAGAATATATTTTACATATTAATATCATATATCTTCCACATTGTCCCTTTAAGGAAGGCTCAAGGAGGACTAACTTCCTGTCAATATTGTTATGGTAATGTGCTATTATGTACCAGCATAAATTCGACTAGAATCATTCAGTAGTGCACCCGTAATAAGGATATAAATAGTTCAAATAAAAAATAAACAGAACAGGATATTTAAATGAGCTAGTTGTGCTGGTTGAAAAGATTATACAGTAAAAAGACGAGGTTGTAAATAAAGTAAAGAAATCAAGGCAATATTACTGTAAGATAAATATAGCCATGTACACCTGCGCAATTCACCTTTAATATTTATTTAACACCATGCTCAGTTGAGTTATGAGTTATGAAGTAGTATTGAGTTATGTAGTAGAAACAGCTAAAATTTAATTTTTATACCTTCACATTTAGCATCATAATTTTACTTTAAAACATTGTGAATTTCTGAGCAAAAGTATTTTAAAAGTGTTGTCTTTATAATCAAATAAGTGTTAAATGATCAATTTTTGATAAATGGATATAGAATTACAGCCATTTTGTCTGGCAGTTTCGTTTTGATTTTTACGAAATTTGAACTCATCCGTCATTAGGGTGTAACAATTATATATTTAAACGTTTTTTAAAATCGGATAAAAATTGTGACCCCTACAGGATCCACAAGAGAAAAACATGATTTTCTGTACAATCAAGGAAGTTATGGACCAATATGCGCAAATATCGAAAGGAACCAAGATCTTTGGGATATAAACATATATTTTAAGTTTTATCACAATCGGATACCACAACCTTGGTATTACATACTTTTACACTATTTAAGTAGAAAGGAGCAGCAATTTTGTCAGGCAGTTTCGGTGTAATGGTGATATATTTGAACATATTTTTAAAATCAGATAAAAATTGTGATCTCTAGAGGTTCCACAAGCTAAAACGTGATTTTTTGTACAATCAGGGGTCGCATGCCAATTTCGAAAGGAACCAATATCTTTGGGAGATAGTCCTATATTTAAAGTTTCGTCAAAATCGGATAAAAATTGCGACCTGTAGAGTGTCCACAAACAAATTCTGGACAATATACGTCCACATCAAAATGTGGGAGTATAAAAATCATAATTTACTGTGTACATACATGTAACATTTTCCCCAAGTTTCATATTTTTTCATGGAAGGCGCCTATATATGGTTATCGTTTGAAAAGGAGTGATTTTAGCTATTTTCCTGTGCGAGTCGATTTTTAAAGCTAATTTTACAAGAAACTGACAAAGATAATAATGTTCATTCAAACAATGCACATTGATACATTATACATGTGGTCAGTAACAACTTCTAATATAGTGTAGTAAAATGTCTACACTGTATCAAAATATTGTTGTTGTTTTTTTTGCATAAATATCAGTTTTTGGCACTTAAGGCATTCCATACACAGTAGATGGTACTTGTTCTGTAAAATTTGATGGCAACTTCTTAATATATATAATATTCCCTTACAAACCCCCAAATTTCAAGAATATTGTTTAACTTGAAGATATAAAGATAGGTTGCCAGGCAACGAAACATATGCCCACAGCAGCTAAATCGTCCGGGCAGTCAACAAGAGTTGTCGCATATTGTTACTTTTTTTGGTAATGAAACATTTATAATACACTAAAATCTGATTAAGAGCAACAACTCAGAAAACCATTAGAACTTGTTTGGTTTTTATAAAGTTCTGCCCCATGCTAACGTTTTGTATACAAAACTTTTAATATCATGGATTTAGCTGTTCCATGTCATAAAAATTCATTGAAAATCAATATACTTGTTCGTCTCAAGATCTTAAACTCTGTGTATCAATCTGAAGTCAATCGGATGATAACTTTAGCCTTTAGAGCGTCACAAGATTTTGCAAAGTGATCAAGGGCCATAATTTTGGCAGTGATTATCGGAAATCGCTGAAAATCAATAGGCTTCTTCGTCTCATGACCTTAAACACTGTGCATAAATTTAAAGTCAATCGGATATTAACTTTGGCCTCTAGAGCGTCCACAAGATTTTTCAAAGTGATCAAGGGCTATAACTCTGGCAGTAATTATCGGTTATCGCTGAAAATCAATAGGCTTCTTCGTCTCATCGCCTTAAACACAGTGCATAAATTTAAAGTCAATCGGATATTAACTTTGGCCTCTAGAGCGTCCACAAGATTTTTCAAAGAGATCAAGGGCCATAACTCTTGCAGTAATTATCGGGAATTGCTAAAAATCAATAGGATTCTTCGTCTCATGACCTTAAACACTGTGTATGAATTTAAAGCCAATCGGATATTAACATTGGCCTCTAGAGCGACCACAAGATTTTTTTAAGTGATCAAGGGCCATAACTTTGGCAGTAATTATCGGAAATCGCTGAAAATCAATAGGCTCCTTCGTCTCATGACCTTAAACACTGTGTATAAATTTAAAGTCAATCGGATATTAACTTTGGCCTCTAGAGCGTCCACAAGATATTTTAAAGTGATCAAGGGCCATAACTCTGGCAGTAATTATCGGAAATCGCTGAAAATCAACAGGCTTCTTCGTCTCATGACCTTAAACACTGTGTATAAATTTAAGATCAATCGGATATTAACTGTGGCCTCTAGAGCGTCCACAAGATTTTTTGAAGTGATCAAGGGCCATAACTCTGGCAGTAATTATCGGAAATTGCTGAAAATCAATAGGCTTCTTCGTCTCATGACCTTAAACACTGTGTATAAATTTAAAGTCAATCGGATATTAACGACAAAAGTTATTTTTCCAAATGCCATTAATATACCAATTTGATTAAAATATAGATCTATATTTCGTTTTCTTTTATACTTTCGATGGCCTCTACTACATGAAGATCTGACCGGTTGTAGTGAAGGTCGTGTCAGAGATCATACAAGTGGCTTTTGACCCTGTGACATCAGACATTTGATTAATCAATCAGTGTCACTGTAACCCAGGTATCGTTTAATCTTGTGTATCTAGCACTAATTTCTTTCACATTCGTTTAATATCAAATCTTTGTTTAAAAATTCGTAAAAATTGTTTAAAATCACCAAAAATCATCTAATTTGTACATGTTTCCAGTTTAAGCTGACTGATTAATTTTGATAATGAGTGTCCAATTTACAAATTTGACGCTCATTATCAAAATTGAATGGTCAGCTTTAAACTGGACAGAAGTACAAATTAAACGATTTATGGTGATTTTA